AGCAAATGAGATGTCAGGCCTCGTTGCACTAGCCAAGTACATCAATGAACCAATGATTTGAGAGTATCTCAGTTGATCCCTTGCTATTCTTCGGTTTTTCCTTAATAGCACGCTGGGATCATAAGGAGTAGGAGCTAGCTTGCAGTCACTATATCCAAAGCGACTCAAAACCTTGTCCACATAGTGGGATTGCACAAGTGTAATCCCACCCTCATCTTCTCTTTGTAGTTTGATGTTAAGAATAACATCAGCCTCTCCCAAATCCTTCATTTCAAAACTCTTGGACAGATAGTCCTTGACCTCCTCAATCACATTGAGGCTGGTCCCAAAGATCAATATGTCATCGACATATAAGCACAAGATCACTCCTTCTCCCCCACCATAGCGATAGTACACACATTTGTCAGCTTCGTTCACGACAAAGCCTGCAGATGTAAGTGTGGTGTTAAACTTCTCATGCCATTGCTTAGGTGCTTGCTTGAGGCCATACAAGGATTTCAACAGTTTACACACCATTCCCTCCTGACCTTCTAGTACATACCCGTCTGGTTGATCCATATAGATCTCCTCCTCTAGCTCTCCGTTTAGGAAAGCTGTCTTAACGTCCATCTGATGGACGAGAAGACCATGAGAGGCTGCCAGAGCAAGTAGTACTCGAATCGTGGTCAAGCGAGCAACTGGTGAGTATGTGTCAAAGAAATCCTCGCCTTCCTTTTGGGTATAACCCTTGGCCACAAGCCTTGCCTTGTACTTTTCAATTGTACCATTAGGCCTAAGCTTTTTCTTGAAAACCCATTTGCATCCTACGGGCTTGCACCCATATGGACGCTCAACGACTTCCCAAGTACCATTAGACATAATCGAGTCCATCTCACTGCGTACTGCTTCCTTCCAGTAGTCAGCGTCAGGAGATGAATATGCCTCTTCTATGGTTCTTGGAGTGTCATCCACGAGGTATACAATGTAGTCATCTCCAAAGGATTTTGCAACCCTTTGTCTCTTACTCTTACGAGTATCTACAATGTTGTCCTCCTCAGGATTTTCCTCAGGCATTTGATCATTGTGTTCTATCGGTGCAAAGTGCTCATGGGGCATGACAGTTTCTTGACTAGAGGTGCTAGGTGTATGTTTCATGGGAAATTCATTCTCAAAGAATGTAGCATCTCTGGACTCAATAATTGTACCAACATGCATGTCGGGTACTCCAGAGTTTACTATTAAGAATCTATAACCCACACTGTGAATAGCATAACCAAGGAACACACAATCAACAGTATTTGGTCCAAATTTCCGCTTTTTGGCTATAGGTACATTTACCTTGGCCAAACAGCCCCATGTTCGTAGGTATGAGAGATTTAATTTCTTCCTTTCCCATTCCTCGAACGGTGTTACTTCCTTATGCTTCATTGGAATTTTATTCAGGACATGACACGCAGTCAAAACTGCCTCACCCCACCATTCCTTGGAAAGCCCCGCAGTGTCTAACATGGCATTCACCATCTCAGTTAGAGTACGGTTCTTTCTTTCAGCCACCCTATTTGATTGGGGTGAATAGGGAGGCGTCCTCTCATGAATAATTCCAAACTCTTCGCAAAAGGATGCAAACTCATTGGAAAAATACTCCCCACCTCTATCAGACCTCAACCGTTTGATTTTCCTTTCAAGTTGGTTTTCTACCTCAGCTTTATAGGTCTTAAAGTAATGCAATGCTTCATCCTTTGTTTTCAATAGATACACATAACAAAATCTAGTGCAATCATCTATCAGTGTCATGAAATATTTCTTTCCCCCTTTAGTCAACACGCCGTTCATTTCGCACAAATCGGAATGAACAAGTTCTAGAGGTGCCAAATTCCTCGCCTCAGATGCCTTATGAGGCTTGCGAGGTTGTTTCGATTGAACACAAGTATGGCACTTGGAACCTTTGACCAAAGTGAATTTTGGAATTAAACTCATGTTAGCTAAGCGCGTCATACAACCGAAATTCACATGACAGAGTCGCGAATGCCACACATTAGACTCATCATTCTCGCTAATATGGTTCACAGCATTATGATTATTACACATGTCATTCAAAGAAAAGCGGAACAAGCCTCCGCTGTCATAACCTTTTCCAACAAAAGTCCCATATTTAGATATGACACATTTATTGGACTCAAACACAAGTCTAAAACCTTCTCTACACAATAGAGAGCCGCTAACAAGATTCTTCTTTATTGAAGGGACATGCTGCACGTTCTTCAGCTGCACGGTTTTTCCCGAAGTAAACTTCAGATCGACCGTACCAACACCATGAACAGCCACAAGCGACCCGTTTCCCATCAACAAGGAGGAACCTCTCCCGACCTGATAAGAAGAAAACAGAGAAATGTCAGCACATACATGAATATTAGCACCAGTATCCACCCACCAATCAGGTGGTGGAAAATAGAGAGAACTGTAGGTAATATTTTACCGTACCCCGATGTTCCTCCGCCCTCGCTAATGACCATGTTGGCAGACTTCCTGTCTTTGCGCTCAGGACAGTCCTTGGCCCAATGCCCAGACTTGCCACACACAAAGTAGTCTCCCTTTGCCTTTCCCTTGCCTTTCTTCTTAAAGTTGGTTGCAGCCTTGGGTTTGACATTAGGCTTGACTTTCTTGTTGTTGTGGGATGCATGAGGGTTCTTCTTCTGTACCATATTGGCACTAGAACCTCCCTCAACCTTTTTGCCCCGGACATCCTTTGCCATCGCCTTCTCCTCAACACCCATAGAGCCAATGAGATCAGAAACACTGAACTCTTGTCTCTTGTGCTTTACAGAAGTGGCAAAGTCCGACCAAGAAGGTGGCAATTTGGCAATAATGCCACTCGCCACAAACTTGTCCGGCAACTCACAGTTGTTGTTCTCAAGTTCGTTAGCCAGCATCTGAATCTCATGAGCTTGTTCTACTACAGAACGATCATCGACTATCTTGTAGTCATAGAACTGCTCCATGACATACAGCTCACTGCCGGCGTCAGAAACTCCGAACTTGGCCTCAAGTGCATCCCACATGTCCTTCCCGGAAGGCATGTGCATGTACACGTCCACTATGTTGTCAGCGAGTACACTGATCAATGCTCAACGGAACAGGCAATCCGAAGCCTCGAACTTAGCCTCTTCCTCAGGAGAAAGAGGTGGTTCACTTCGTTTGCCCCGTGAAACATAGAAGCACTGCATCGCTGTCAACCACAATAGTGCACGTGCTTTCCATCTCTTATAGTTAGAACCATCAAAAGCATGTGGTTTTAGTGCAGCAGCAAAGCCAACTACCGAAAATGACCTATCAGGTTTTTGGATTGTCGGAAATATGGTAATAAATCGGCATATTTTAATCCAAAATGTTAAGACAATAATCATGGCATAAACAGTGTAGGGTGATCTAGTGACAACATGTAACATAACCAGTAGCATACTAAATGCATCATGTGCATCATGAATATCAGGAACAAGAACATAGTAGTAACGCAGTAGCATGCTAAAGGCATCATGAATATCAGGAACAGGAACATAGCAGTAAAGCGCTAACAACAGGAACAGGAGAAGGATATACCCCGAGAATGGCCCTCCGCTGGATTGTGAGGCAGAATTGCCTCCGTTGATGTTGTTGTTCACGGCACCGGCTCCAGCTCCTGGCGCACCACCTCCGGCGGCTCCAGCTCCAGGCAGAATGGCCCTCCGCTGGATTGTGAGGCAGAATTGCCTCCGTTGATGTTGTTGTTCGCGGCACCGGCTCCAGCTCCTGGCGCACCACCTCCGGCGGCTCCAGCTCCAGGCGCGCCATCTCCTCCAGCAGAAGCAGCAGCGCCGGCTCCAGGCGCAGACATGGTGGGCGAGGACGAGCAGTCGTGCATCTCTCGTGCGCGCAAGCGATCAGAAGCGAGGAGGCGAGAACAGCACAGGCGCGGAGGAGGAGGAACTAACACCCGGGAAAGAAGCAAGCGGATCGTTCTGATCGGACTCGCGACCTCCTTATCTATCAGGCCTCCTTATCTATCAGGAGAGAGGCAGTCGTGCATCTCTCGTGCGCGCAAGCGATTAGAAGCGAGGAGGCGAGAACAACACAGGGCAGTGCATCTCTCGTGCGCGCAAGCGATTAGAAGCGAGGAGACGAGAACAGCACAGGGCAGTCATGGGAACGTAGGATCGTGGACGCGCTGTTGCGGAGGCAGTCGTGGGAACGTAGGATCGTGGACGCGCTGTTGCGGAGGCAGTCGTGGGAACGTGGGTTCGTGGTTGCAAAAGAGTAGCGACGTGACGTACGCCCGCCACGCCTCGCCCTGGCCCGGCGCGCGCACGCGCGTGGGGCCTTCCGACCCCCACCTCAACTAGTCAACAGGGAGCCTCCAATAACTCCCTATTTAGGTTGAGATATTCCTCGCTTAAATCCTGAGGTGGTATTATTATCCTTAACACTTATTATGGGCCTTTGAGATTTAATAGGATAAATTGGGCCTAGCCCAATTATTCTAACATAAACTTCCAACTTTTCCGTCACATCGTTCCAATTTCAACCAAACTTTTAATTTTGGTGTGAACTATAAACACACCCTAACAGTCGATATGTAGTGCTAATTTTAGTCGCAACAGGTCCTACAGCTTTCTCATTGAACACTAGCCAGGGGAATGGAATCTTGGCTTCTTTTCCATTGACTTGAACACTTGGAAACAACTATTTTCCACTTTTAGATTTAGTATTTAACTATTTATCATCCATATCTCAATGACATGTGGGTCCACATGTATCTATGGCATGTGAGTCCAGTGGTAAATAGTTAATTGCCACATCTAGAAGTGGCGAATAGTTAAATATACCAGGACGAAAGAATGAGGTAAAAACTAACAACCAGGGATGAGAAAGCATATTATCCCAATAGTATAGTTGAGCCAACTGCAGAATTAAACTAGTGGCCAACCATTAACCAATAGATCACAGATTGCTATTTTTGATAATGCCACACTGTGTTGGATTCCCTATTGACAACGGTAAGCAGTAGTTCTGGCATGGAAAAATAATTGGCACTACATCGGTACAAGTAGATAGAGGTCGGCATGGATGTCTGACTCCGATCAGTCAATCGAATCCAACAAAAGCACACGGACTCGTGCAAACGCCCAAATTATCATGGGTCTCACAGCACCAAACGTTGTAATAAATTTGTCCGAGAGTTAAACCGCAGATGCAGCATTTGTAAATCTACATATTGAATTCTAGACAAAAGTTACACCTTCAACGGTGGTTAGTCCTCTACTCTCACCGCTCATTCCCTATTTCCACTGCCTCATGTTCAGCACCGTCCACCCCTCACTCAAGTCATATCGATATATAGGTCATCCATGTAATCCACTAAGTTGGGGAAAAGGAATGAGTCATCCAGTTCCATGTCATGATCTGCAGTATGCTTCTGATCAAAGCGTCCCTCTGCAGTAGATCCTGTCATGAAGCATTTCTCGCACAGATCTAAACCTGGTGCCTCACACTCCTTGCATGAGTATCTTCTCCCTTGGATTGGGAAGACCTGCAAAACAAACAAACAAACAGATCTATCCATTCAAACAGGCTGCTTTTAGATATAATTTAGATGGTAAGCTTTATTGAGACAAGGATCATGAACATCTGCCTCCTCAATAAATGCATTTAACAGCTGGTGCATATCTAGCCAAACCATAATAACTAAGTTTGGAATAAGAACGTACCCCGCAACCATCACAGCCCACCCCAACGTGGGTATGCAATATCTCTGAAGGTTTCCCTTTGCGAGTGCCTTCCTTCCTGCTTGGAACACCTGAACTTTTCTCTTGCCTTGAGTTATACAGTTCTTCGAAGCGATGTTTCAGAAAGTTCTTCAGATTTGAGCATACTGTAGGTTCAGCGGGATGTGGAGCTCCACAAAATTGGCATTCAAGTTCCTCTCCACCCACAGATGTTAAACATGGCATGCAGTAAACTGTTCATAAAACAATGTCAATTTTCCAACAGAAAAGAAGTAATAACATAGTTCTGCAATATTTTATCCTAAATTCGAGCTTACCATGGCCACAATTCAGGACCGATGGGTCAAACAAAAGTTCCTGGCAAATGAGACAAGCCACATCTTCCGATCTGATCCCGTCAACTACAAAAAACAGTGAGAATGAAGGAGATGGTCAGGCAAGAAACAACGAGAACTAGAGGATACCCCACACAGTAAATAAGGAAGGGGAAGTGGACACTGAAATAGCAGGCCTCTAAAGGAAACTTTTGCACTTGGCAGCCGGCAAAGTTCTTAACCCAAAATAGTTCGTGTTCAGCAGATCACATGGGAATTAAAGCAATAGAGGACACAAGTTGGAAGCAATAGCATATAGTACAAAAATGGGGAAATAGTAGGGTACGTGCGGGAGACGAGCGCCCCTGGTGCTCAACGGGTCAATGCAAATATTGCGAGAGAAGAACGTGCTAAGGCACAAGGTAGGGGGAAAGAGTAATTGTACAGTATGCACATGATGGTATAATTACTCTTTACCCCTGGTTCTTGTTCAGCTGGATGAACTTATACAATGCATCATGTAAGCTAGTTGCTGTCCAGCTAGATGAAATTGTAATGCATCATGTCAGCTAGTTGCTAAGGCGTAGAATGTCCTAATAATTCATAAATGTAGACGACTTTAAAGGTTGAATACTCACCTTCATCTGCATTTCCCTTACCAGGGTGCAGGATTGAAATCACGCAACCAATAAGATTGCAGGTCCTCGAGACATGTAATGCGCCAGGCATAAACGGCAGAATATATGCCCACAAGCTGCAGCAGCACAAAACACATGGTAACTGAGATTGTGCAACAAAATTGCAGCTAGATTAGCAGTTTAGAACCTCATACACGTGACCACAGGATTGGAGATAACGCCCCTGCATAACAAAAGGAATCCAATTTGAGTGTTCGAATCCCCCCAACATGTATGATCGATGCAGAATATAACAACCAAACTTACATGCATATTACACAGAAAAACCAATGTTATTCGTCGTCGTCGTCGTCGTCCTCCTCCTCCTCCTCCTCCCCCACCTCCTCCTCCTCCTCCTCTTCCCCCACCTCCTCCTCCTCCTCCCCTCCTCCAGGAATGGGACGGTCACGGGGGGCGGGGTTCTCCTCCCTGCTCGCCATGACGCCGCCGGCGACGATGGCGGCCTCCGCTCGCTCAGGCGCGACGGGGTCTTCCTCCCTCCCTGCCATGATCCTCCCGCAGCAGCCGGCGACGGGCTCACCTCCGCTTCTCCGGCGATGGGGGCTTTGCTTGGGGTGGGGGAGGAGGCGGCGCTTGGAGTTGGAGGCGTGAGGACTGAGGAGGAGAGACGGGAGGAGGACATGTGGGTCCCCATTGCAGAAGCCACTTGGGCCGGCCCATTCCATTCTGCGCCTGGGCCGAACCACTAGTTTTGTTCGCGTTGGATTGTCAAGCCCAAGCTCCAGTTTGATGCACAGGAGTTTCCATCACTTTATAAATATTTGCCACTTTTTAAACTTTTATAAGATGTGGCAATTAAGGATTTGTCACTCGTAGTCTATAACATGTGGACTCTCATTTGTCTATGACATGTGGACCCTCATTTATCTATAATATGTGAGTCCAACAACAAATTCTTAAGTGTCACTTGTAAGAGTCGCAGATAGTTAATTTATCTTGCTGCGAAGTGCCTTGTCCTGGTTTGAAGAAGTGACTCCTAAAATGGTTGCATTATTATTGTTATTACTCCCTCCGTTTCAGGTTATAAGATGTTAAACTACTCTAAGTTGACTAACTCTATAAAAAAAATAGTAATATTTACAACACCAACATAGTTTCATTAAATCTATAATTGAATAAATTTTCATAATATATTAGTCTTGGGTTAAAAATATTACTACTTTTTTCTACAAAATTAGTCAAACTTAGAGTAGTTTGACTTTGACCAAAGTCAAAACATATAACCTGAAACAAAGGGAGTATTATTTTTGAAACAGAAGAGCATTAATGGACCATGGGCAAATCACACAACAAATAGTGTCATCCCTCCATTATGTGTGATCTCCACACCAGCATACAGCAATTACCAAACAGAAAGAAGGAGACGAGCTAGTACAGTTTTTAACTAGACGAAAAGAACAACTAAAACTACTTGATCCCATGATCTTCCCATTCTTTGTTCTTCCAGCCACAAAAACCTGTCTCTTCCTCTGCTTCAGTTCCTCCAGTCGATTCCCTGTTTCCTTCCTTTGCTGATTTGTCTCACACCTCCAGCCGTCTTCTATCAAAGTTCCAGCCATACTTGGAATTATATAATCTCTTTTGCAACCTGCTTTAGCAAGTCGAAGTGTCGAACCCACATTGTAGACTTCTTTGGCCTTCCACCGACCTCTGCAAAATTGACCAGGATGAAATCCAGTGACACATATAGTATATCAATTCTATTGGATGTGAGATCATCTTATGCTCAAAACATGCTTTATTTCTAACTTCCCATATTGCCCACAGTGTGGCTGCAATCCCCACTGCAACTAGTTGTTTCTTCTTTTTGTCAAATTCATTTAACCAAGCTTCCAACAAGTGTTGAATGCTATTGATCTTTTCAAGTCCAAAAGCACTTGCAATCACATTGCAAGCAAATCTAGCCAGTGGACAAGACACAAACAAGTGATCTACTGTTTCATTTGCTGAGCGAAACTGGCATACAATAATACAAAAATGGTTGCATTATTGTATGCTGATTGCTGAACTAGCTGCTGTACTTCTACTCGAGAGATCAGAGATGTCCCCTAAGGCAAGAACAAACGAAAATACTCATGCCCACACCATACCACTTGTAATGTTTTACTCAAGCCCACTCCATACCACTTGTACAATGCTTCGATCTCTCTATGATATTTGGCTGTTACCTTGTCCCTCCTTATTTTCAAAGTGGATGTTAGCAAACCATTATCCACCTGAATACAAAAAAAAAAAAGTACTGTCAAACTTGATAGCAAGAAAAGCTATATAATTACTAGGTGAAAACTTACCGTAAATGATTCGTTAACAATTAGAATAGGGCTGATTTGGAAGGAGCAACCCATCATCCTGGCATTTATATATTAACAAAACATTCAACATGGCTCTAATTAAATCAACATATATAAACTACACACCCTTCCTCTCCGACTACGACATGCCACCATACCTAAAACCCTGTATTGGTATGGGAGACTGGGAGTACGAGACTCGTAACTCGTAAGGTTTTTAATTCGCACATATCAACAACAAATTACACAGTCCTACTCTGTCCTTCAATGTTTAAAAAATCATGTCTCAGGTGATAGATTTAACTCCAATGTGATTGTGAGTTGTGACCCATCATAAAATCAGCAAAAGTTCTCTAGACTATTAGGCTAGAGAAATCAGAGCTCATAAGAAACAGGAGAGAAATAGTTCTCAGCTCATTACATACAAAGTTCCAAAACTTATCCTTTGGCTTCCCATCAAGAATAGGCTTTCTTTTAGCCATTGCTAGAACCTCATCATTGCTACAACTATGATGTTTACAATAAGCAAGTGTTATCTGTGACCTGCAGCATTATGTCTTTACCAAGATATATAATCTGATGTGCATTTCTACCCAAAAATGTGTTCACCTTGACCCAAACAACTGTTTACAGCTCAATTTAATTTATAGTTAAAACTTGGCATCAGTAAACTGGAAAAAATGATCCTTGTAATATCCCTTCATCACTTGAGGTCCTCTGACTTTCACAACCCCCTTTGAACCATCTGCGAGAACCTCACTATTCTCTATGCTCACTACCTTGATTTCCGTGTGCTTTACTGGGTACCAACTGTGCCAAGAACCTGCAATGTGGCATGAACTACATATCTTAGTATTATCATAAGCTATACATAGAAAATAGTATAAATGATGAGAAGTAATGCAAATATGCCAGGAATACAATAGGGACTCCCTTCTTTATGCATTCCACAGGCCATGTATGCTTCCAGATACAAGTCTACTAGTGTAGTAAGATCAAATGTTTGATGATGAGTAAATCTACCAAGGAGAGGATGTTAATAATATCAATGTTCATTGTTGAAGGAAAATGGCCTCTCAGAAGAATTTGTTTCCATTTATGGTGAGTAAATTTGCAAGGACAGACTATGAATGATATATGAATTCATTGTTTAAGGACGAAATTGCCACTGAGAAGAATATGCTTTAAAATACATAAAATTGTGACCTTTTTTTCCCGTTTCTATGGAAGCACACCATGTATCAAAGAACAAAATACTAATGAAGGCATGAATATTTAACAAAGAACTTTATTAAATGATATACATCTAACTCAAAAAATTGTCCACATGCATTGGAAGACTTCCACCACCGCTAATACCAGACAGCAAGTTACCACAGAACCCAGAGTTTATATTTGTAATCAACATTAAGGAAACTCCCTTCACACTAAGTACTTACACAAGGATTATCAATGTCACACAGAAACAGGTGCATGGGGATAAGTAAAAGTACCTTTGGAATCCCAATTGCAGAATGGATTTTCTTGAATACTAACTTCTTTGCCAGATTATGCAAAGACCACAGAAGTGCAGCAACAATTCTTGCCAATAGCCAATTGACCATATGCACAATAAATGATGGTTTGACGGGATTGCTCAATAGGACTATTCCCTTTCCAATGGAAGAGAAGGAGATAATTAGAAGAAAGTTGGATCTTAGTGGTAAAGAATCATGCTACACCTACAAGTAGAATTCATGGGATAGAAATTTCTGGATCATAAGGTCATCATATATGAGACAGAGGATATATGAGACAGATTATGCAAACGTATCTTGATAAGTGCAAGAGCAGCCAATTTTCGAGCATTTGAACTGGAAGATATGTGTCTCTGAATTGAGACTTACAAAGTGGAGAAGAAACATCAGAAAATGGATAAAGGAGCAATCATTAAACATTACCAGTTTGCAAGAAAATGCCAGCATCAAGGACAAAAAAGAATGTTGCCTACACTGATTGGGTGCTTCCTATAAAATTAGTTAGAGCTTATGCCATTGAACAGAAACAATAGATGGATAAAATATAGATTATGCATCTTGCATGGTGCCACATTGAGGATACTAGTGAACTGAAGTAAATGTTACATCTCTGATACAATTTCATGTATAATACAATATGGAAGCAGTTCATCGTAATAGAAGAACTAACCTGTAGAGAGTCTCATAGACCAGTGGTACTGATACAGTGTATTGAGGTTGGTACCGTTGCAAAACTTCCTATCAATAGAGTAGAAGTCAAAACACCTGAACAACATCAGCATCTTCATAAGAAATAGAAAATAGTGACCAGAAAGGAGAATACTGTAAAGGGAAGGAACCCTATCATATCAAGTATGACACTTGGGTTTCCCTAAAGTAGATTAGAAGGTCTGGACCTGACGATTGTTACATTTGCTTATAATATATCAAACTCAACTTTGCAGCGTTCAGTAAGCTGCTAAAGAATAGTACAGCATTAGGTCATGTAATTGGTCGCAATAAATCCTTAATGACATCATAAGACCCTTGATGGTACTAACTATGACGATGCCTGAAATGTTACCTTCAGATACTTGACAATCATGTAAACATGTTGAATTCCATAAGCTAAGATGAAGTACTTGATAACACGTTCATACACATGCCATGGTGGAAGCATGCTTAGGAAACTATCACCAGGTACTGCTAATACTATCCCAGAAAGTTTTCATCTACAAACATAACTGCATAGAACTTAATTTGGATAGAAGAGGAACAGGGGTTCTGATGTTCACATGACAAGAAATCACATCAAGAAAAGTACAGTTTATATTTCAATATTACTTTCAGGTAAAAGAAGTGAATGTTACTGCTCTTTCGACCAGATGCAAGAGATTTCAGCAGATAAGCATCACTCCTTTTGGTGTTCCACTGGTATATAATAGTGTGGCAACTGGCAACATCACCTGAGTAAATGTTTCAAAGACAACCTGCTGACCTACAGGGAAAAAAAATAAAACAGATTATGATTATATAGCACATAGTTATGACAAGACACCATCAAAGGAACAAATAAAAGGTTCAAGTTGAATGTTTGAGTGTTGAACATGCAACGTAGCCAAAATTGCAGTTGCAAAGCATAATAGCACTATCACATGAAATGTCATTATCATTGTAAAAGAGAAAAAAATCCACAAGAATTAAATTATTGAGCAAGAGTTTTAGTCCCAAGAAACAAATTAGAAGCACAAGCGCTCATCTTTAAAAATAGCAGTCCCAAGAGACAGCGCTTGGGAGGAGGAGGCAGGTGCAATTAGCTCAGACCGCAAGAAACATAACTAAACAATCAAGCAAACCTTCAGACAGAATTTTGCAGAATAAGGATTAAGGAGTATATTTGCAATATTGTTATGCTGGCAGATCTATTAACTGTTTTGTAGTACTGGATGTCTATCTCAGTAAATTAAACCAATAAGTTTCTGTTATTCAATGCCAGAAATGAAGAAAATTACCAACAAGTAAAGGAGACTGCTGTCTGCTGGTGAGTAAAACCCCCAATTCATAACCTATACACTAGTGCACTAGAAGAGTACAATGAAAGATATGCAGATGAAATGTGGAAAGTAACTGCTGCACTTGTTTAAGAGTGGTATTCAACTGAGTCATAAATTTAGTGTGGCACCCCACCGGCAGTGGCGACCAAAGATTCAGTAAGAACTGATGGACCAATGAAATCCAGACCAGGATGTAATCAAGTTTCCATTTTCAGTTTGTTTGAAAGAACGGAACTGGAAAGAAAAATAAACATACTGTGCAGTTGCCTTGTGCAGTGAATACATTACCTTAATCCCAACCATTTGCACCCAATCGACATCAATATAAGTCGCTCAAGACATGCAAAGCAACAAAAGGAAAAAACAATCCACTCCTACTACCTGCAGAAGCGGCTTGTTCTAAGTAAAAAAATTTCTTTGCACTCATATGGTATCAGACCCTTTTCATCCCTCTTCGCTTGGTTTTCACATTCAAGTTCTGAATGACCAATAGTGCCACAGGAGCTAAAACGAACATGATGGAAATATCAAACATCCAAGAATTACACACAATTACATAAAAGTGAACAGCAGAGCACACCATGCTGGAGCCAAGAAGTGCAGATTGAGCTTTTCGGGTTTACAGTTTGCGGTCAGCAGACCTCCTTGTAGTGCTTATCCTGGCATCTGCCAGTCCCAGTTACAAGGAAGCCATAATATCATTGGCAAAAGTGCGTAAATAGACTAACCATAGGATGGCGTCTTCTAACACACAAGATTCCAGTGATGCTAGTATGCTACTTGGTGACTGGCAGAGTCCAAAATGAGCAGAAAGGTAGTTAGGCAAAGGCATTTTACAAAGTACTCCCCAACTCCCCAAGGTTAAACGGGGGTCATTGAACAGGATCAAGGAGAAAGTCATTGCAAAAGAGACAAATGACTAATGCTATGTTATACTAAAAGGTATTCCATCTGTGAAAATGCACTTGGCAGTGATGTTTCTGTCTGCATCCTTGAACTACACTCTAAATAAGAGGTGCATACTCTATCTGAAAGGATTATTTATTTATATTTTTAGCCTTAATTGAGTACAGTAATATAAAGAAGCCAAACTTACTCGAAACGCCACTTCTCCGGTTCTCCTCCATCCAACCAAAACAGGTAAAATCGAATCATAGATTCAGTGCGGCACCCAAGTCACCGTACTTGCAAATGCAAAAGCCATGGTGTTCTGAAGTACTCCTAGTTACCAAAATCTACTCTGCAAAATCCACTACACCAGAATCCCATACCTCTGCACCCGAAATCCTCGCGACGGCCACCACGCCACGACCATCTACACCGCCGCCGCCGCCTCCGTCTCGGGTCGCGGGGCGGTGGAGGTGCGGCGTGGCATGACGGCGGCGGAAGGCGGAGAGGGAAGACGGCGGCGGCGGCGGCGGCGAAGGCGGCGGCACACGGGGGTGGGGGCGGAGGCTGGGGTGGGAGTGGGCTAAATGGGCCGGGGGCCCAACAACAACAACAACAAGGCTCCCTCCAACCGAGCCCAGCGCCCGAGCTGCCAAATATAAGTCGGCGCCTTTCTTCTACAACGGCCAACCCGCGCTCCCTCCTTCCCTCTCCTCTCCTCTCCTCTCCTACTGCGCTCTGCTGCTTCTTGTTCCGCCATTGCCACGAGATCGAGCTCTTCTTGCTCCCCACCACGCGCCCTCGATCGCTTGAGCCCTCCCCGCCGGCGCCTCCACGATGGGTGACGACCACGACGACGGCCGCGCCTTCCCCTGCTCGCCCGAGACCACCCCACGTCGAGGCCGCCCGCGACCGCCACCGCCACCGCCACCGCGTCCGACCTTCGCCGCCGCCTCCGCTCGCCGGGGGTGTCATTCTTCCCAGGTTCACCTCCGCGCCGACGACTCGATTCATTTCTTCCCGATACGCCTTCGCGGCTCGCCCTCCGGATCAAGAATCAAGATCGTTCAAAGAACACAAAGAAAGATCACCTAACTCTTCCTCCCTGACTTCTTCAGACCGTCCCCATCGAGGCCGCCGCCGCCACCGCCGTCGCCCAGCGGGAGGAGTCGATTCCTTCCAGGTACGCCTCTGCCCCCACGGCTCCAGAGCCCCGCAGCGGCGAGACCGCGGTTCGCCCATTGTTCAACTTCAACATTGCCCTTACCCGAAGCCTTCTTCCCCTTCTTCTTCCATGGACGACGACGACGTAGGCCTCCGGGACGCGATCTTTTCCTGCGCCGAGACACACAGCTCCGGATGCAGCCTGGCCGAGCGCGATCCGTGTACCCTGCACTCGCCCGCCGCCGCCGCTCAGCGATGGTTCGATGGCATTATCTTCTTCCGCTAGCCATCCTGCTGTGTCTCCCCATTCCATCTGGTAACTCCTATTCTTTTACAGTTGAAAATTCTTAAATCACACTGATCTTTGTGAATTTGTGATTTGTTAATTTCAAAGATCATATATGAGGAAAAAAGTTACAAGATAGATTTAGGAAATTTCTTTAGTTCCTTCAGCACCAGATTTCTTAGCAGCGAAGAAGGATAATTCTTGTCCCCTCTTTTTATTTTTTGTTCTGTGATCTTTGGTTAAATGTTTGTTGCGTTTTGCAGAACTTGTGGTTCGTTTGTTAGAATCAAGTGCATTTTCCTTATCAATAATAGAATAATAGAATTCTGAAATCTAGCTCAATTATTTCCCAATACTCGAAGTCTGTAGTGTCAATGCCAAACATTACATGCAAGTAATTTAATCTTGCTTTTTTGTCTAGCACATAGTATCTATATATATGTTTCAGAAATTAATGTGTTAGTAGATATTAATGTTTCTCATTTGTTAATGTAATTTATGGTGTATATAAAACTATCTAGATCTTTGAACATTGTCTTCGCAATCACATCTTGTACATTTGTCTGTCGGCTTCCACCGAGTGCACTGATCAAGCGTGTACTTGCAGAGACTTATACGTTCCTTGGGGGAGTCCCCGAGGCCGCTAGAGAGCTAGAGGCGCATGGTCGCTTCAATCAGCTCGTCACGCAGATGCAGGTGGATATTGCTGCACGCGACGCCGCCGGATTCGTAGAGGTGGATCACGGCGCCGGCGCCGGATCTGGTATACTCAGATGGGCCGTCGGCAGCGTATTCGCCGTGTTCTGGGTGGCCCTTATCATCGGCCTCGTTGGGGGTAAGTGTTAATTCTCTGCAAATTCTAAGCCGAAATGAATGTTGTTTGCGCATGCAATGCTTTTTGAGTGTTTGCATGCTAAAATGTTCTGTGTTACATTATCAGGTGAGAAGGATCCAGTTCCAGCCGTACGAGCAGTGACTCGGTCTCCGCATGATATTACCCATCTGGGCCTATATCTGGCGGGTGCTCTTAGGACCTGACTATGTTGGGGATTACGCTGGATCAGCATGGTCTATCAGTAGCTGTTATTAGGACTTGACTCTGTTGGGGATAATTTTTCAGGACTTATTACCGTGTTGGATCAGTATGGTCTATCAGTACCTGTTATTAGGACCTGACTCTGTTGGGGATTTTTTCAGGACCTTTTATTAGGACCTGACTCTGTTGGGGATTTCCATTGGTTTATCAGTAGCTGTTGGGGATTTTTTCAGGACCTTGACTTCATTAGTTCCAAATTTCCAACATTGTTGCCCGTGTTTACGATTCCGAGATGGCCTTCTGTTTCGGGCTCTGGCGGAATGACGGTTTTCATGAAATTTGGTGGAAAACCGGTAGATTTCGAACAAATTTCATAAACCCGCGAAAACAAATTTCCTGAGTTTACCGATAAGCTCACGAAAACCGGTCGGCTTTGGCAAAATTCCAAGCGAAATCATTGAAATTTCAATCGGTAACTAGAAAAAGAGGTAAACTGATTTTTTTTTCCTTTTTTAATTCGTTACTTTTCTTTTCTACTGTAAATTTCAGTAAATATACGGAATACATCAATTTTTTCGAAAATTTATATCCCAATAGATTATATGAATATCATATTGTTTATAAGATTTTTTTGATTTTTTCCTTTTTTATCAATTCAAATTTGAATTTGGATTAAACTCATCGAACGGCTTCTACTTTCGAGCCTCGTCGAAACCTCGAAATTTCGCAGAATTCGACCGGTTTTCGTCGGAATTGTTAACCCTGATCGTTGCGACCAAAACAGATTAGTGTGTTTCACTGAAACACCGGTTTTCAGCAAATAACAAATATATACATTGTAAAAAGAAAAAAAAATTAGCTTCTTGCAGACTACATAATAAATAAATATCCATGGATTTAACTCTCGTTACAAGTAGCCGCTTTCTGTATCTCATCTTTATTTAGGAGTAGATATCTCGATCAGTCAGAAGCCAAAGGACCCGACCTCACTAGCTCTGCCATCAACATAAGGATATGAAGCAGTCACAGCAAGCATAATTCCAGTCCCAGAACAAAACACCCCAATGAGATCTGCGAAAATTATTAGTACACCGGCACAGAAACCACCAACACAAGCTGCCCTCATGACATGACGCCGAATTTCGTTCGCATGTATTGAGTCGGGCTGGGCAAGCCTCAGTCTTCGTTCCTCCTGCATCTGCATTGAATCAATCAAAGTAAACGGATTAACTTGCTAATATGTAACAGGGGAAGAGGGTAAAACAACAATGCTGCGCAGAGTTTCTTTTCATACATACATTTAACACAACAAACCCGTTGAAAACTCCTTTTGAAGATGCACAGACCATAAGACCCATTGAGATAAACACACATGAAATAAGCACGAATGCGACATATATAAATGCATGGAACGGGTCCCTGTGCAAATCAGCCAAGCTGCAGGAGAGAAAAGGGAAACATAAGGCAAAGCAAAAAAAAAGGCAACACTTAGGACTTAGGTATCAAGTCATACTTTTAAATTGAAATCAGAAATGTGGGCAATATAATTTCCACAAGTATGTGCACTCACATAGGGGGCGTTCTTAGGTAGTACACTATCCCTCCAACAGGGATAGACTGTCCAAAATGGTTCAATCCATCCCACTTGCCAAGCAAATTCACTAGTGTGTTTCCACTGTATTTCTTGTACAGCACCTGCAACCCAAAAAACAGAGTTAGCATGTTTTACATAGGAAGCCTCAGCAGTGTTAGTAGTATCACATTATAAAGTGTAATAGTGTAGGCAAGCACCTTTGAGGCAACATAAGGAAGTGGGAGCAGTAAACGGTGCAAGACAACAGGCCCATACAAGAAATGTGAGAGCTTGATGTGGCAGTAGGCTTGAAAATTACGCCGTGTCCTGACAGGCAGTACAATATAGAAGCCTTGGAAGAATATGGCAAGTGGAACAAACAAGCAAGTGGCTAGAAAATTGATAATATTCGGGAGGTTTTGACGGTAAAAGGCTTTAGACATTGCAGACAATTTATCCGTTCTAGTCATCAGAAGATGAACCCAGGCAATAACAGCTCCCTCAAATTCAGGGCTTTGTTCAGGATACATGACGGACATGGGGCTGAAGGCCTTCCACAGAATATTTACACTATACAGAAAATGGGACAGGTGTTAGCTTACAGTCTTAAACCAATTCAACCATGATGCTTTTAATTTCAAGCCCTTACCAGATGTTGGTGGCAGTGAACAAGGATATACCAGATAACAATCCATATCCTTTTCTTAGGACATCATCAAGATAAATGACAATGATATCAGAGCAAAGAATCTGAAGCATTATTAGAACCGTATTGACAGTGAAATGTTGGCTTCGCACATAGAAATTAACAGCTCCCAGAATGGCAACCAATATCCCCAGCAACCTTTGTGCTCTATTCCTGAATTTCATAAATAAAGGCCCCAATTAGCAAACAAAAATTGCAATTTGTTGTTTACAAAATTTCACCACCCAAAAGAATATTCATTTCTTTATGAAACCGATCAAAGCATAGCAGATCGACTGTCACCATTCCATCTCTCCATATGCAAATATTGCCGTTAGATTAATTGGAGGTGAGCAGAATCAGCACTTACATAAGAACACCAGTTTCAGGTGCACTGGTATCGAGAGTTATGATCTTTAGGTACACCCAGATCTTCACCAGAACCTCAGGTACTAGAATAGCGACGATCCCGTGCGACAAGAGAGTACTACGGCTTGACGCCAGAATCAGATGCAGCCAATGTAATGGATCAGGCTCAATGGTTCGAGGTTGGTGTTGGATCCCATACAATAGAACTTGGCTGGCAGTCACAAAGATGAAAAGTACAATGGCCGTGTATTTAAATTTTTGACGGGGAGAGATGGGCTGGTCAGGACACTGCACTTCAGGGACTAGCGCTGCTAATCTCCAGAACTTTGACCTATTTGACATCTTTCCTGATAGTTAACCAAGGTAGAACCTGGCAAAACAAATCAGAAAGAAAATACAATTACACAACTGCAAATTAAAGAAAATGCAATTAAACACTTCAATTAATATTAAGCAGGCTAATATCTCCTTTCTTTTTACAGTACTTCTCGGAAGATGACAGTCGCTGGTACGAAGTTCAATCAAGTGTAGTAGTAAATGCAAGAACAAACTCATGGCTAATAACTCCCCTAAACTTTTGGGGGGAACGGACAAACTGTACAATGTAAGACTTTCTAGCATCCCACATACATATAGATGTTAATGAATCTAAACACGTATATGTCTAGATTCATTAACATCTAAATAAATATGAGCAATGCTAGAAAGTCTTACATTGTGAAACGGAGGAAGTACTTGTTAATATTAATAAGAGCTTCTTCCACAGGTCTAGATCAAGAGAAGCTAGGGTTAACGCAAGCAAAAATCCGAGACAAAAGTGGGGTGGGTTTGCGTAACTGGACAGGATGCTCACCCGGGCGGAAGCCGCAGGAAGACGGCGCCTATGGAGATCGATCGGCGCAGGCAGGCGGTGGGCGAACTCGCAAGGAGAGGAGGCGCCGCCAAGGGGACGGCGAAATTCAGGCCGTTGGTGTTGGAGGGGGTGTGTGTTTGTTTACAAATCACTCCTCTCTCATCTATGAATATATTAAACCCTAGGCAAATATTAATAACTTTTATTGTTCATCTAACCCTCTTCGTCTATTTTTTATATAAAAAATCTCCGACATAGATTTAGTACTAGAAGTCAACTTCTAATCCCATCAGAACTCAATCTTTCTATTTCCAAAACCTATTACAGTTTCTAAATTCAGAAACCACAACCGGCATCGGACTCCTACTGCACGGCAAGGGCCAATCGTTTGACCAAACATTGTACTCCCTCTATAAAAAAAATCGACTTCTAAAGTTTAAATTTTATTCTACAGGAAATTAACTTTTACCATTCTACCTACCCTCAACACGTAAAATGAGAAGTATTATTCCTTCAATATCATTTATCTACCTATCACAATTACTATTTTTTTCAATAATGAGAGACATTTTAGTCGTTTTCACTCTCCACTAATTTTGCATTGAAATGCTAGGGTTTGATTTTATATTGTCTGTACTAAACTCTGCCACCTCGATGCTCGTACGGCTCCCACGCAGATTTTTTTTAACTTTTTAAACTTATTAATTTTATAAATTTTAAAAATAAACTATCACAAAACTTATTTTCAAAATTGATACGTGAAAAGGAACTAATATCCTACTCCCTCTGTCAAAAAAAAACTAACCTATAAATGGTCATGTGACCCATCTACTAGTACAACAAATCTAGGTTAGTTTTTTTGGACGGAGATTCGTTATACTAGGAGGGGTTAGGTAATGTTTTTTTACGGAGCGAGTATGTGCCAACTTCTTGATACAAAAAACAAAACTTTTTTTTTCGAGAAATGGATTTGCTTAGCATCTAATTTTTAGTGTGCGCCAAATTTTGGTTGAAAAGGTTTTCCCATGCCCATCTTCCATTGAGCCGGGCAAATAAACGAACCTGAATGGGCCCCACCCAACAGTGACACAAATAATACCTTAATTTAATACACCAGTAGGCAACTAGGCATAGATAGGTGGTGTTTGAATCTTCTGAAGATGAAGATAAAGATTAAGTGTTTCACGCAAAACGAAGTGGTAATAACGTGTGACTAATTGAGTTTTAATTATTACAAACTTGAAAAATAGATTAATCTGATATTTTAGAACAACTTTCATATAGAAAGTTTTCGCACGAAACGCACCGTTTAACAGTTTGAAAAGCATACCACTATAATCCAAAATTTAATCCACACTTTTAAATGGATTCGAACGGGGCCATAGTACTGTCACTTTTCTTATTTAAGATATAGAATTTACATCGGTTTTCATTAACAAGCTTTAATTTCACCTCTGAATCCAAAATTCTCCAAATTATCTCCACTCTCCAGCCTCACACAACCATATGTGCAGTTCAACCAACTTGCTTCTCCATCTCTCTATATCGGAGTGTACAACTGTACATATCTGTGTATAGGGATTAATTGTCACTGTTGGTGTAATACAGTTTAAAAACTAAAGGTTTGATCTACAAACCTTGTGCATCTTAAATTATTTATTTTACTTTTGAGCAAACTGCCTTGGTCTCTGCAGCTCTATGAAAGATGAAGCATAGGAATTTGGCAAGAATAGCATATATCATGTTCATGATCTCTTCTAGCACATACTTATAATTATTTCTGAACTATCGATATCTTCATATTTGGAACCTCAAATTAACTGTTTGTCACATCATGCCCTCATTGTAGCCAACTGCATGTACTGTTCCTTTTGCGCCGAAACAAGATGATAGAAGCACAATTTGTTAGTAAACTACTAATACCATCCATCTTATATTCTCTTTAAAGCTCAAAATGCATCGGATAACTGTTAGTCCAGTGAAACATATCTCCATTATCTAACTTATTGTTCTATTTCTACTGGACCATATATTCCAGCAACATTTGACAAAATTAATGGCATATGTCTTTGTTATGTGGTGCTTCAGATTCATATAGCTTGATATATAGCCTTCTGGTAATTTACATAGGCGCTAATCTTTAGTTGTAAACTAGAGCATATCATAGTGTTGACACCGTTAACACTTAACACATAGATACCAATCTAAGTGTAAAATATTAATCTTAGAACATACGTAGTAGATACTAAACTTTAGGTGTAAATTAGCACTTGGCAAACTGGTTTTCCCAAAGGAGCAATCAAAGCGGTGTGACATATAAACTGATTAGTAACCGGTGGTGTGACAAGCAAAGATGTTTCAGCAATAATAACATAGCTAAAGCATGTATACCTTGCAGTACTTTTTGGGCAAAAGAAGCCAGTTCTATTACTGAAGTACACTCTTCGATTTAACTGTTCTATTACTGAGGTACTCTTCGATTTTGTGGTTGACTGTAACGGTAATGCTAATACTTGACATAATTAGGTAGAGCTCTGAGGAGCTACATGAGATGTCAATACTTTGCTCTTATGCCCACCATTTCACCATTTGGATCTCATGTTCACAGTTTCATCTAGGGACATCCAGGTTGATTCTTCTATAGTTATATTGACAATATTGCGCAGTGAACCACTGCAGGATATTAAAAACATCGTTCATTGACTATGGGCGCCGCGGGAGGAAGACGGCGCCAGCCGAGCATCGCAGGAGGAAGACAGCGCGGCGGCGGCGCCGAGAAGACGAGGATGTCTAGGCGGTGGCTGGTGTGGTGATTGAGTGGACTGAGGGGATGGAGGGATGAGCGATGACCGTGTGGACGGCTGGATGGAATCACCAGTTGGACATCTGACGGCGCATGCATGGCGAGGGACTGTAGTACTGTAGCAGCATTTCTCTGGCCTAAGATGAATCGCAACACTGTTGGTAGTGGGTCACGAAAACTAAAGATTTGATATGATAAGAACAAGCAGCCCTTCTCAAAAAAAAAAAGAAAAAGAAAAAGAAAAAGAAAGAAAAAAAAAGAAAGAAGAAGGAGCAAGCCTCGCCTACTTAAGCACAACAGCAGCCTTGCTCCAGCTGCGAGCTAGAGCCATGGCGACCGGAGAGCTCGCTCTCGTGTCCTCGCTGTTCATCGTCGTCGTGTTCCTCTTGCTTGGTGCGGTGGCGAGAGAGGCTTCTGCGCTCACCCGGCATGACTTCCCCGAGGGCTTCGTCTTCGGCGCAGGCTCCTCCGCTTTCCAGGTATATATACATAAAATCCATCGATCATGCATGTCAGAAGCTCATCATGCTCAGATGCTCATCCTGCTCACGCTCAATGCTCATGCTCTGCTGAAATTTGGCGGAATTTGTTGCATCGGATTTGTGTTTCCGTATTGCATCATGTTTGTATATGCCAAGATATGTGCTTACTACCGTGTGAGCAATGCTGTTCAAGAACTGAATTTGTTTTTGCAAATGTGTCACACCTGGAGTAGGTGGAAGGGGCAGCTGCAGAGGATGGGAGGAAGCCCAGCATTTGGGACACCTTCATCAATCAAGGTCCAAAAAAATGGAGTAGATGATAATCTTCTCCTCATGCTTTTATTCTAGAACATTTTTTTTCTTGTATGTTCTTTATTTACGCATGCATATAGTTGCATTGTTCTAGAATGAATATGTCCATGATTGATGCTTACAGGGTACATGCCTGACGGCTCCAATGCAGATGTCTCAGCAGATCAGTATCACCATTACAAGGTCAGTGATAAGTTCAGATATGACACAAAATCTATAAAAAAGATCAGTTTAATCTACCTTTTTTTATTTTCAATGATTTCAGGAGGATGTAAAGCTTATGTATGACATGGGGCTGGATGCGTACAGATTTTCCATTGCTTGGCCTCGTCTTATTCCGGGTAGACATAATCACATAAATAAGGTAGTACTACTGAATATCTTCTGAACACTTATGACAGTGAGTTTCAAATTGTTTTTAGATGGAAGAGGAGAGATCAACCCCAAGGGCTTGGAGTACTACAACAATCTGATAGACGAATTGATAATGCATGGTACACATTACTTGCTGCACCTTGGATTTATTCCTAGCTGAATCTTGATCGGTAGACTCATCTTCTGTCATGTATTGGCAGGAATACAACCTCATGTCACCATCTACCATTTTGATCTCCCTCAGGCCCTTCAGGATGAGTATGGTGGAATACTCAGCCCCAGATTCATGTAGGCACCCTGAGAAACTCCACAAAATCCTATGTAATCTAAATGTTTTCATGACACAAGCTGATCCAAATGGTGATGAATTCAGGCAATTCCCTAAAATTTTTTTTATATTTTTTTAGAGATGGGTATTTTTTACCCGGTCTCTACATCCAACCGGATATATGCAACCTTTTTAAATTAGGAACTTAGCCTATCAAGCAGGGAACTTAGCCCTCAAATAACTCAATCTGAAATTCGCTTCTATGAAGATTTGAACTCAGGACCATAGGGTGCTACTCAGGTCACTACAACCACTAGTCAATTCCCTGACATGTTGCCACATATTATATTTCAGAGAAGATTACTCGGCTTATGCCGAGGTGTGCTTCAAGAACTTCGGTGACAGGGTGAAGCACTGGGCCACCTTTAACCAGCCGAACATCGAGCCCATCGGCGGCTTCGACGCCGGCGACCGGCCGCCGCGGCGGTGCTCCTACCCCTTCGGCACCAACTGCACCGGCGGCGACTCCTCGACGGAGCCGTACATCGTGGCTCACCACCTGCTGCTCGCTCATGCCTCGGCAGTGTCCATCTACAGACAGAAATACCAGGTCACAATACTGAATTCATACTGTGTTCATTGGTATGTCTTTGGTGTGTCTTTCACATACCAAGAAATGGTCCCTGAACATTGAATTGGACATGACAGCAGGCAATTCAAGGAGGCCAGATAGGGATCACTCTCATGGTTCGGTGGCATGAGCCATACACCGACAAAACAGCCGATGCAGCTGCTGCCATTAGGATGAATGAATTCCATATTGGATGGTTAGTACTGCTACTTAAATTGCAGTACCAACTAGCCATGCCATACTAACTACTCCACTGACTAACTACTCCACTAACTACTACTCCCTCCGTTTCAAAATGTTTGACACCGTTGACTTTTTAGTACGTGTTTGACCATTCGTCTTATTCAAAAAATTTAAATAATTATTTATTCTTTTCATATCATTTGATTCATTGTTAAATATACTTTAATGTACATATAGTTTTACATATTTCACAAAATTTTTAATAAGACAAACGGTCAAATACGTACTAAAAAGTCAATGGTGTCAAACATTTTAAAACGGAGGGAGTACTCCGTAGTACTTAAATTCTCGGCATTGCTATCTCAAATCCCAAGTACACTCATGACAAACTTAAAACGATGTTTATACCCGGACTTTTCAAGCATAAAACAACAAGTGTTTGTGATATGAAACTTTATTCGGTTCAGCAATTTGTTAGTCAAGTACTCCCTCATTCCTAAATTGATCATCATATATGTTTATGTACCAAGACCAAAGATAATTTAAATCACATCAATCAAGATATCATGCACATATTCTCCCACAATGCATGTATCGATTAAAATACCATACCAATTACACCTTAATATGCAGACATTCTTCCATGTTGTATTAATTATGTTATGATGAAATCTATGTCTATGTGGTTATATGATATTCAATTTAAGAAATTTTGAATTCCATTATATGATGATCAATTTGGAAAGGAGGGAGTATTTCTGTATCTTCTGACCGTGTATATCCACTTGTGCGAGCCTGCGAGGTCAGATTTCTATCAATTATCTTAGAAAACAAATTGTCGGTCTCCTGTTTTTTCAATGTACTGATCTCCGTCTGAAAATGCAGGTTTTTGCATCCTTTGGTGCACGGAGACTACCCTCCGGTGATGAGGAGTCGCGTGGGCGTTCGGTTGCCATCCATAACGGCGTCAGATTCAGAGAAAATACGCGGATCGTTCGACTTCATCGGCATCAACCATTACTACGTTATCTTTGTGCAATCCATCGACGCGAATGAGCAGAAACTACGGGACTACTACATCGACGCAGGTGTTCAAGGTAAGAATCTCTGAACACCAGATGTTCCCAAGCTAAGTAATCAGTCAAACTTTGCATGCATTATCCATGGCTTTCTACAATCAACTCTCAACTGCATTAGTTTTTTGAGTTCCATAAACCGATCAGCTGATCAGTTGCTGTTCATCTGGTGCAGGAGAAGACGACACGGTAATATATAGATAATCGAGCTGCAGTGGAGCAGAGTTGTTTTTGAAAATGTTTCAAGGCATTAGAAATTCAGTCTTGATAGTCCTTTCGAGATGGTGCTCTCTACTGACACTATTTTACTATCCTCGCTTTGGAAGTGATCTCAACCATTGATTTATAAGTTTTACTACTAGTAGTTAATTAATGTGGTAACATAAATAGATATGAGTAAAACACCTCTTCTTTCGATGCTCCCTTTGCAGGAGAACATTCAGTGTCATTCTTGGTCTCTTGGCAAGGTGCTGAATCACCTGAAACTCGAGTATGGCAACCCCCCGGTCATGATCCACGAAAATGGTAGGTCCGAATTCTGCGTGGGAAATGTTTTTAATCCCTTAGGGGGATATTCCTTCGTTTCTTATATGTCACCTAAAAAGTTATAAACTTTTTTTAAAAAATGATAAGATAGATTAATATGAAATATACCATCCACAAACGTGTAAGTTAAAAATTTAACTTCTATAAGTTGGTAACAGAAATAATGAATATAACTGTGAATATATGACTATTTTTAGTTTAATTTATTCTTTTTTTTCTAACTTGTTGAAATCAAATTTGATCTTACATGCTTGTAAATGATATATATTAATCTATGTTGTTAATTTTTCTTAAAAAAAGCAAATTACAACTATTTAGGTGACATGTAAGAAACGAACAGGTCTCATCTAGAGGGATGAAAATCCATCTTCCATAGTTCTTGGTAGCTTTAAAATGGCATTTGTCACTGGCTTAGTACGATGTAAATTATGTTTTTTCCTCGATGCCTCAGGTTATTCAGATTCACCGGATATCTTCGGAAAGATCAACTACAACGATGACTTCAGATCGGCGTTCTTGCAGGGCTACCTGGAAGCTCTGTACTTGTCCGTACGGTGCGCTCACTCTCCTAGCTACTTACTTCCTTTGTGCTCGTAAAGGAAGTCGTTTTGGACAGCGACATGGTCTCTAAAACACAACTTTGACTTCTTATTTCTATAAAAATATTTATTGAAAAGTGATATATGTATACTTTTATGAAAGTATTTTTAAGATAAATCTATTTATATAATTTTTACATATTCAAACTTAACAAGTTGAGAGTTATTCATGATTTATATTCCCAGGGTTTGACTTAAACATTATCCTAAACGACTTCCTTTACTAGTATGAAGGGAGTACTCCCACCATTTCATATTGTAAGACATTTTAGTTTTTTTCTAAGACAAACTTCTTTAAACATAACTAAAACAGAAAAATATGCCAATATTTATAACATCAAATTAATTTTATTAAAATCCACATTAAAATATGTCGTGATGGTACATTTATTTGGTATTAAAGATATTAATAACTTCTTTTGGTTTTTAACAGATGATACCGTTAACTCAAACATTCATCTTATTGAAAATATATATTTAATTTTTTACTTGGTTTTATCATTAATGATAAAAGCTTAGTCAAAATTAGACATATGGTTGAACATATGTTAAAAAATTCAATGTCATCATCTATTAAAAATCTGAGTGGGCATTTCTTTATAAACTTAGTCAAAATTAGAGAACTTTAACTTAGCACAAAACTGAAACAGCTCATTATATATAGCGGAAGTACTACTCAGTTCGGACTTAAGATAGATTGTGCTTAATGGATGCAAATTGTGTGCTGTACTGCACCTAAAGTAGGTGCCACTGACATGTGGGTCACCTACTACATATGCTGTACAGTAGAGGATCCCCTCCTGCTTAATTAGTTTCCGTGTGTTTAGTTTCACGTTAAAATTAAAAGTTTGACTAAAATTGGAAGTTTGAAGAAAAAAACTAGAAGTTTATGTATGAAGTTATGTATGAAGGAAAATTTTGATGTGATGGAAAAGTTGAAAGTTTAAAGAAAAAGTTAGGAATTGAACAAGGGCTTTGTTGGTCTGCTGGTGCAGGAACGGATCGAACACGCGGGGATACTTCGTGTGGTCGATGTTCGACATGTTCGAGTTCCTCTACGGCTACCGCTTGCGGTTTGGCCTGTGCGGCGTCGACTTCACCGCCGCGGCGAGGACGAGGTACCTCAAGAACTCGGCGCGATGGTACTCCGGCTTCCTCCGCGGCGGCGAGCTCCGGCCGGAGAAATCCTACGCCACACTGTGATCACTCCAGAGAAATTCGGAGGCGTACAGTACAGGAAGATGGCCAACGCTGGCTAAGTTATTACTACCTCCGTATTTTAATGTATAAAGCCGTTGACTTTTTATCTAACGTTTGACCATTCGTCTTATTCAAAAAATTTATGTAATTATTATTTATTTTATTATGACTAGATTCATCATCAAATGTTCTTAAAGCATAACATAAATATTTTCATATTTACACAAAAAAAATTTTGAATAAAATGAATGGTCAATCGTTGTTTAAAAAGTCAACGGCGTCATACATTAAAGGCAAATTTTACTACAGGACACTCGTTATGTGTGGTTTTAGGCCTAAGACACTGCCCAAACTCACTTTTGAGGGAAAACACTCCATAAACATGGTAATTTGCCAGTGGACACCGTGCCGATTAAAATAATACTTTCCGGTTGGAGAGGAGAGAGAAATCGCGTGAAATATCAAAAATACCCTTGGACCCACATGTCAGCTCTCCATCTCTCTCCCTCCTTTCTCTCTTCTCCCGGTCATGGCTTGCTCGGCGATGGCGGCGACGCCCGGAGTGCGCGCGGCCTACTCGGCGGCCGAGGCACTGCTTGTGGCACTCGAGCGCGAGCGCCTCACGCAGCAGCACCCGCATCAGCAGCGACGGGCCACATGAAGACGAGCACGGGCCGCACGGGCTCAGGGCGCCGTTCCCGTGCATGGATCAGCTGCTCTTCAATTCGACGTGGACGGCTCCGCCCGCGGTGCTCGGCACGCCATTGCTGCTGATCCAGGTAAGCTTCATTTTTGCTCATTCACGCATCGACAATGGTGGCATGCATGGCACATGTCCACATGTGTTGACTTGATCCATGGACGGACAGGTGACCCGCCTCCTCTGCGGAGGATTCGTCCTCGGAATACGCCTCAACCACGCCATGTGCGATGCCTCCAGTGTCGTGCAGTTCATGGACACCGTCGCCGATCCCGCGAGCTAGCTGCTGGATGCGCGCAAGCCACCCAAGCCGGCGTTCTAGCTCCGAGAGTACAACGACGTAGCCGTCGCGCCCCCGGCGCCGGCCGTGGTCCCCGGCGACATGGTCATGCGCACCTTTTCTTTCAGCCCCGGCGACGTCGCCACCGCACCTCCGTGGCCGCGCGACGAGCTTCGACGTGCTTGTGGCGCGGCGTTCGTCTGGCGCGCCCGCCCCAGGGCGCTCGAGATCCCCGCCGGCGAGGACGAGCAAACTGATGTTGGCGAGCGTGTCGAGCACGGTGAGGCGGCCACCGGTGTCAGGTGTGGAGGAGGAGGTCCTCCATCGGCCACCGGTGCCGAGTAGGCCGCGCGCGCTACGGGCGTCACCGCCGTCGCCGAGCAAGCCATGACCGGGAGAAGAGAGAGAGAGAGAGAGGAAGAAAGAGAGGAAGAGAGATGGAGAGTTGACATGTGGGCCCAAGGGTATTTTTGACATTTCACGTGATTTCTCTCTCCTCCTCAACCGGAAATTATTATTTTATATAGCGCGGTGTCCATTGTCAAATTACCATGTTATGGAGTGTTTTCTCCTAGAAGTGAGTTTGGGCAATGTCTTACGGCTAAAACCACGAAATCATAGTGTCTTGTAGCAAAATTTGCCTACATTAAAATACGGAGGGAGTACTAGTACTTCCTTTTGTTTTTAATATGATGAATTAACCAACGTCATATAGAAATAAGGGTTTGTTGGAAACATACCACCCTATATTTACAAAATTTGAGATATGTCACCCGTATCTCAATGACACGTAGGACCCACATGAGTCAATGACATATGGGTCAGGGTGGCATATCATAAATTTTGTAAAATTTATGTGGATGGTTCAAATTGTCCCTAGAAATAAAAGGGGTAATATCTTTTTTTTTCCTTTTTACTACACGAAAGTGGAAAGTTTCACCTCTCCACGCAATTGGTTAAAAATAAAAATGACCTGGCCTTCTAGAAGAAGGCGACTAGAAGTCCAAAGGATGGATGCATGAATGTAAATGGAAAAATTGGACAGAATCACGAAGAGAGGAGAAGCGATCAGAAGCAGCCGGAATTCAGAAATGGTGATCAATTTGAGTTACTACACTCCTTTGTACCACCTATGACATTTCGCTGTTGCTGTCGTTATCTTTTTATTTGTTTTTTTCTTCTAAAAAAGTCCATGTCTATGTACGGACATGTACTGAGCACGTACTTCGTAGCTACTCTTTCTGTTTTAAATTATAAAATATTTTAACTTTGATCCTATAAGTAAGTCATAAAATTACTAGGGCGATAGGTCAAGAAACCATAGGACGGTATACCTTCTCTTTGGAATGTTCGTTCGAGAGATGGAACGTGTACAATAAATAATATTTTTGGGATGATAGTTCGGAACAATATTGGAAATTAGAAAGCCATTATATTGCAATATATATTCCATACATTTGGACTTCAGCTAGAGTATGCTTAATTAGTTTCTCGGTTCGCCGGCGACCGACGGGTGCAGGAGCGGATCGAACGCGGGGTACTTTGTGTGGTCGCTGCTCGACGAGTTCGAGTTGCTCTCCGGCTACGGTGTACATGCGATACGGCCCGTGTAGCGCCGACTTCACCGCGCCAGCGAGAACGAAGTACGTCATGAGCTCGATGTGCTGGTACTATGGCTTCCTCCTCGGCGGCAAAGCTCCGGCCGAAGAAATCCGACATCACATTGTGACTCCGGAGAAATCTACATAATTATTATTTATTTTTTTACGACTTGATTCTGAGAAGCTGAGGCTCTACTAGAGAAATTTTTAAGATTTTGATAAACAACTAGATGGTCATTTTCTGTATTTTATAGCTACATATTCTTAAAATCTAGGTAAGAATCTATATTGTCTGAGAAACTAAAGCTTCCTAAAGAAACAACTGTTACCAGAAGCTTCTCGAACTCTACTTCCCGGAAAAAAAATGTGGTCATTTATTAATATATAATTAATTAAGTATTAGAAAAAAAACTTGAAAATAGATTAATATAATTTTTTGTATATATATATTTTTTTATCCGTTTAGTAATTTAAAAAGTATGTACTGAAAAATGAAAGAGGCAAGTTTAGAAAGCAAAGAAAAGAACTCAGTCGCGGTCAGTATCACTCAGGTTGTGATCCATGAGAGATAGTCATGGTTAGTAACCAGGTGGTAAACCATGCCAGCTGTGTTCGTTGCCCCTGGTTTGCAACTTCTTTATTTTCCGTACACACGTTTTTTAAACTACTAAACTACTAAACAGTGTATTTTTTATAAAAAGTTTCTATACAGAAATTACTTAAAAAAGTCATATTGATCCACTTTTGCAAAAAAAGGTCTATCTAGCGAGGCCTCTCGCGATAGTCTTAACGCGAGACCCAACCGTGTGAACAGTGGAGTGGAGAAGCCAGTACATATGCATGCCTGTTTTCATTACACATGCATGTTTTTTCCCTTTCTTATAATTTTTTCTCTCAAATTACTTATCCGATCTACAATCCGATTACAACATTGTGTTCGTTACAATTAAATCTTCACAATAAGATCTTACATGATTATATTACGATGAAAAAAAATTTATATTTGTAAATTACTTTTATTACATGTGAAAGTTACTTTTATCATATATATATATATATATATAAAAGTTACTTTTAGATTTGACTAAATTACTTCTTAGACGTATAAAAGGAAATTCAATATAGTCTAAAAGTAATTTACATATATTATAAAAGTACCTTAAAACAAAACGGAAGTAACTTTGTCACGACATTAGAAGTAAATTCGTTGTAGGGATAAAAATATGAATTTATCTAGAAATAAAATTTAATCGGCACATATCAACACACGTAAGTTTAACAGTTTTTAAAAGTAACTTCAATGTTAATTGGAAATAACTTTTGCATTGTTCAAAAGTAACTATCTATAAAATCATCGATTGTTTTTTCCTTTCATTTTTAGCTGTGTAGTCACGCCCAATGAAAAAGGACATTCATTAAAGTTACTTTCCTTTTATTATAAGTTATTTCTATAATATATGTAAACTACTTTTAGGCTTTATTGAATTTACTTTCATATGTCTAAGAAGTAATTTAGTGAAATCTAAAAGTAATTTAGATATATTATAAAAGTAATTTATAATTTTTCATCAAAATATAATCATGTGGGATCTTGTTATTAAGATTTAATTGTTACGAACACAACGGTGTAATCGGATCGTAGATCGGATAAGTAGTTTAAGAGAAAATTGTATTTAAAGTATAGGTGGATAGTGTCTCTTACGTATGGAGTGGTAGCTAGTTTAGACAAACCAGCTACCACTAGCTGTGTAATCACGTCCTTAATTAATCACGCGCTAATGGACCGCTCAGTTTTCCGTGCTTCCGGTTAGTAACACTGTCTTCCGAACACAGCCATCATTGGGCCTGTCCCCATCTTCCATTGGGCCGGGCAAAATAGCCCGAGTTCGTAGGCCCACGGCCCACCCCACAGGGACACAAAAATCCCAAAAGAAAAAAAAAAGAAGCGTCGACTTCAGTGCCACTTGTCTCTCCTTCCACTCTCCAGTCAGCATCAAACAGTGAGGAGAAGACAAAACCTCGCCATCTTTATATTAGGCACTAGGCACAGCAGCTGAGCCAGCAGCCATGGCGGCCGGGGCACGAGCTCTCGTGCCCTCGCCCTTCATCGTCGTCGTCTTCCTCCTGCTCGCCGCCGCGGCGAGAGACGCTTCCGCGCTCACCCGGCATGACTTCCCCGAGGGCTTCGTCTTCGGCGCAGGCACCTCCGCTTTCCAGGTGCCAAGTACTCCTAGATTAATTAGCCAGTTTCACCTCACTTTGTCAGATGAACTATGTTATTATTTGTGCAGACAGTGCATATGTCGATACGATATCCCTGAAATTTGGCAGGAATTTGTTGCATCGGATTTGGATTTCTGTTTAATTTCTGTATCGTTTCCTGTTTGTATGGCATGATCTTTGCTGTTCAAGATCTGAATTTGTCTGCAACTTTGTAACATAACAACACCTGGAGTAGGTGGAAGGGGCAGCTGCAGAGGATGGGAGGAAGCCTAGCATCTGGGATACTTTCACCCATCAAGGTCCAAACAGATACTTGAATCATATATTCTCCTCATGACTTATTTTTTTTCTAGATGTTCTTTATTTACGCATGGTTGCATTGTTCCAGAATGAATATGTCCATGATGATGGCAAGGTGTGTCATCTCATTGTGTGTATGTCGCTCAAATAGTTATGATGAAAAAAATTAAGAAGATGTATTAACATGTGATATATTACTCCACAAACATACAAGCTAAAATTAGAGTTCTTAATACATTGTACTACCTTGATGTAATTGGTTGAGTTTAATAAAACTTTTATTATATAATAGTAAAAATTAGTGTTGGTGACAGGGTACTCGCCTGGCGGTGCCATTGCAGATGTCTCAGCAGATCAATATCACCATTACAAGGTCAGTGCTGCACTGTTGCAGTGATAAGTTCAGATATGACGCAAATATATATTACAAGAAGATCAATTTAATCTACCCTTTTTTTTCAATGATTTCAGGAGGATGTAAAGCTTATGTATGACATGGGCCTGGATGCGTACAGATTCTCCATTGCTTGGCCTCGTCTTATTCCAGGTAGACATAATCACATAAATAAGGTAGTATTGAATATCTTCAGAACATTTCTGACAGGGAGCTTCAATTGGATTAGATGGAAGAGGAGAGATCAACCCCAAGGGCTTGGAATACTACAACAATCTGATAGACGAATTGATAATGCACGGTAAACATTACATGATCCATGCAGCTCTATTCTTAATTACCAAAATCTTGATCAATCAAGACCCATCTTCTGCCATGTTTTGGCAGGAATACAACCTCATGTCACCATCTACCACTTTGATCTCCCTCAGGCCCTTCAGGATGAGTACGGTGGAATACTCAGCCCCAGATTCATGTAAGCACCCTGAGAAATCCACAAAATCCTGTGTGACAAACTGACAAGCTGAACATTTTCGGCTTTTCGCAATGCAAAGTGATCGAAATGGTGAAGAATTCAGGCAATTTCTCTTTGAGGGGATCATGCTGACAGCCTGACATGGTGTAATCTACCATATATTTTCAGAGAAGATTACACGGCTTATGCCGAGGTTTGCTTCAAGAACTTCGGTGACAGGGTGAAGCACTGGGTGACAGTGAATGAGCCGAACATAGAGCCCATCGGCGGCTACGACGCCGGCGTTCAGCCGCCGCGGCGGTGCTCCTACCCCTTCGGCACCAACTGCACCGGCGGCGACTCCTCGACGGAGCCGTACATCGTGGCTCACCACCTGCTGCTTGCTCATGCCTCGGCAGTGTCCATCTACAGACAGAAGTATCAGGTCATATTAAATTCCATAACTAATTCCTACTGTTCACCATTATACAAAATACTTTTCATTATGCATTTGTGTTTCTTTCACGTGCCAAGATAAAATGGTCCCTGAAAATTGGATTTGGACATGGAAAGTTGGCAACAGGCAATTCAAGGAGGTCAGATAGGGATCACTCTGCTGGGCTGGTGGTATGAGCCCTACACCGACGCGGTGGCAGATGCAGCTGCTGCAATCAGGATGAATGAATTCCATATTGGATGGTTAGTTAGTACTTAAATTGCGGTAGTAACTACTTAAATTGTAGTCGAATACTACTGTCTCAAACTCAAAACGATGTTCATACTCAGATTTTTCAAACTCAAAACGATGTTCATACGAAAATACATTCAGTTTGGCTATTTGTCAGTCTCCTGAATTTACAATGTACCCCTCTGAAATAATGCAGGTTTATGAATCCTCTGGTGCATGGAGACTACCCTCCGGTAATGAGGAGCCGCGTAGGCGCTCGGTTGCCATCCATAACGGCGTCCGATTCGGAGAAAATACGGGGATCGTTCGACTTCATCGGCATCAACCATTACTTCGTTATCTTTGTGCAATCCAGCGACGCAAATCATGACCAGAAACTAAGGGACTACTACGTTGATGCAGGTGTTCAAGGTAAGGATCTCTGAACAACCACAGGCCAGATGTTCCCAAGCAAATTAATCTTGCATTGCCATGTTTTTCTACAGTCAACTGCATTAGTTTTTTGAGTTCCATATATGAGATTAAACCGAGCTGACTTGCTGCTCACCTGGTGCAGAGAATGGTGGAGGAGGATTCGACAAGGTAATATATAGATAATCATGCTGCAGTGGAGCAGAGTTGTTTCAGAAAATTTTTCAATGCATCAGAAATTCAGTCTTGACAGTTGCTTGAATGCTCCCTCCCTTTACAGGAGCACTATCAGCTTCATCCCTGGGCTCTTGGCAAGATGCTACATCACCTGAAGCTCAAGTATGGCAACCCCCCAGTCATGATCCACGAGAATGGTAGGTCTGAATTATCGAGCTATTTCTGAACATACGTAATGTAAATCTGATCAATGTGATGTGAATATGATTTTATTTTTTCCCTCTCGATGGCTCAGGCGACGCAGATTCACCGGAGACCCCGGGCAAGATCGACTACGACGACGACTTTAGATCGGATTTCTTGCAGAGCTACCTGGAAGTTCTGCACCTGTCCATACGGTGTGCTCACTCTCCCTGCTTGTTACTCTCCATTCCATATTGTAAGGTGTTTCAGTTTTTATTCTAAGTTAAACTTCTTCGAATATGGCTAAATTTGAAGAAAAATAAACTAATTTCTATAACGTCAAATTAATGTCCAGTCTAGAAATCTTTGGAACTTCAGAGAGAGACACTCTAGTTAATTTAGTTTCTTGGTTCGCGATGCAGGAACGGATCGAACACGCGGGGATACTTCGTGTGGTCACTGCTCGACGGGTTCGAGTTCCTCTCCGGCTACGGCAACCGCTTTGGCCTGTGCTGCGTCGACTTCACCGCGCCGGCGAGGACGAGGTACGTCAGGAGCTCGGCACGGTGGTACTCCGACTTCCTCAACGGCGGCGAGCTCCGGCCGGTGAAACCCTTCGTCGCATTATGAATCGGGAAGATATTAATCCGGAGACGTAGACTAGAAGATGAGCAACTTACTACTCTCTCCGTCCCAAAAAAGCCAATCCTCTCCCAGTACAACGATTCTGAATTATACTAGGAGGGGTCACATTTTTAGGTTGGGTTTTTTTTTTAAAAAAAGTATGCAGTTAATATTTTTTTTCTTTTTACTATATACGAAAGTGGAAGGTTCCAACCCTCCACGCAATAGCCAAAAATAATAAAAGCGACATCGTCTTCTAGAAGGAGGCCAGAGAATGTGTATGGATGTAAATGGAAAAATCGGACAGAATCACGAACAGAGGAGATCAGAAACACCTGGAATTCAGAAAAAATGGTGAGAGTTGGCGACCAATTTGAGTTGCTGTACTCCTTTGTGCCACCTGCATTACCCTGTCGCTGTCGTTATCTTTCCATCAAAATGTTCATGTACGGACGTGTACAGGGCACGTAGGTGTCTGTCTACTGCATGCCTGCATTTGATGACCCGGGGCCCCACTCGTGTCGCCCCACGTCGACTTGTTAGGCGCAGGTTTAACTTTGTTTTGTGGGATAATTAGTTTGACTGTGATTTGGAGAGCAATTATTATGTTTGAAGTTCTTTAGTGGAGTATATACCTACTTGAGTGACGTATCACGTATCTAGCAAAAGTTTGAACCAAACTTAACCTTAAGTTCTTTAGGGATTAGGTCTGACCTTTTGCGCTTACCTGCGTATTGATAAATACTGCTCCCTCCGTCCAGAATATAAGAAGTTTTAGTGTTAGACACGGTTATTAAAAAAGTAGATAGAAGTTAGTGGTGGAGAGTTGTGATTGGATGAGTAGTGGAGTTATGTGGAAAAAGTGAATGATGGAGGGTTGTTATTGGTTGGGAAGAGAATGTTGGTGGAGAAATTGATATATTTTGGGACAAATCCTGATAGCTAAAAGTTGCTCTATTTTAAAACGAAGGGAGTATATAATAGCATATCGGTGTCACTATTATCAGTGCCGGTTCAATAAAACCCAACATTAATGATGGTTTTCCGCCCTAACACTCTAGCACTACGCAGAGGTAACACCTAACACTAATAAGAAGACATCAGCGTCGGGTCATATACAAACCAATATTGGTTATTCTACATACAAACCAATATACCAGTTTATAAGAATACCCGACATTGATCGGTTAATCATCAGTGTCGGTTCAAGTCGATTAGAGTGGGATGGACTAGCCTGTTGATGGAAAAAGTCATCAATGTCGGGTCTTAATAAGCATCCGTGTCGGTTTGGGATATAAACTTAACTTTTTTATACAAATTCGAATTATGATAAGGTTTATATGAAAACTGTAGCTCTTGACAATATTTATGATTTTCTAGTTAACTTTTTTTTAATACTTTTAGATACTCAAATCCATTATTCAAATCTCAATTAGAAAGGCTAAAAATGAATATATCTATTTGCTAATAGAATTGATTGTTGGAATCACTCCCTCTCTTGTGTATTGTTTATCGCAAACACTCACGTATTTTTCACTTGCATCACACACACACACACGAATGAACAGAGTGCACAAGCTAGAAAGCCTTTTGGTTGATGCAGCCAACTATCTCACATCGGTTTTTTTGTTCATAGCCTTGTTTAAGATCCCACAACAAAATTTTTCAACATGTCATATCGAACGTTTGAACACCTACATAAAGTATTAAATATAGGCTTAAAAAATAACTAATTGCACAGATTGCAACCAATTTGCGAGATAAATCTTTTAAGCCTAATTGCTCCATGATTTGATAATGTGGTGCTACAGTAAACATTTGCTAACGACGGATTAATTAGGCTTAATAAATTCATCTCGTGGTTTACTGATGGATTTTGTAATTAGTTTTTTTATTAGTGCCCGAACACCCTATGCGACACTCTAAATAATACCCGATTTAACATGCTAAAACTTTATATGTGAACACCCTATGCGGCACTTCTCTGCCAAGGACTGCCTGCACACAGCCTACCGGTGGGGAGTGGTTGAGGCCTGAGTCGCCGCTTCCTCAGCAGGCTCCAACTTTGGTGGTTGATGGGCCCGACGGCGTCCTCTACGATGTGCCGATGGTTGTCCTTGACCTCGATGGCCGCCCGCTGGCGCACTCGCTTCCATCTTCTGTGGCAGACAACGCCGCTCTTCGCGCCTTCCTCACCAGCTGCTCTAGGCCTCTCCCTCCTGCGCTCCTCCCGCCGCCTTTGCCGCTGCCGCCTCTCGCCGCCAAGGTGGTGGAGGTTGTGCCGAAGCGCAGTGAGCGTATCGCTGCTAAGATGGCACTTGAGGCGCTTGAGGGGTCGATCCACGCAGTGTCGCGCGCCCAGCGCAACCTGATGCGGAAGCTCGGCCTAGTTCCGGAGAGGGGCCCGGTCACGGCCGAGGCGGTCGCGGCTTACAACGCCCTCTTCTCCAAGCCACTTTCCCAAGAGCACATCATCACGCTCTCCTCGCTCTTCTCCAGCTCCTTGCCCCCGGCCAAGGCTGCAGAGGCGTTGGTCGTGTGCGGCTGATCGGTTTCTTCTCTTCTGCTCTCGGTGTGGTCCCCCACAATGGGATCATGCAACGAGAACGTTTTGGTGTGGAACGTGCGAGGTCTGAACTCGCGCGCCCGTTGGGATGCTGTGCGTGATGTAGTCCGTGATGAGCATGTCTCTATTCTCTGTCTTCAGGAGACTATTATGGATGTAATCCCCTCTCGTACTATTCTGGAAATGCTAGGCCTCGACTTTGATTATTCCTTCTTGCCTGCGGTCGGTCGGAGTGGGGGGGTGTTGCTTGCCTGGCGGACGACTGTCTGGTCTGTCTCAGATGTTCACCTTGCGGATTTCTCTCTCACCGCGTTGGTTCGACACTCTTCTGATGTCGCCCCCTGGTGGCTCTCCATCGTCTATGGGCCACAGGAGGAGCCTGACAAGCTTCGTTTCTTAGATGAGCTTCGTTCGCTGCACTCCTCTCGCACGGGGCCGTGGGCCGTCGTAGGCGATTTCAACCTCATTCTCGAAGCTCGGGATAAAAACAACCTTAATCTCAATCGTCGTATGATGGGTTGTTTTCGTCGGCTCGTCGACGAGTTGGAACTCCGGGAGCTGCCGCTTCACGGACGTCGCTTCACTTGGAGCAATGAGCGCGAGTCGCCCACGCTTGTTAAGCTCGACCGCGTCCTCTTCTCTGCGGATTGGGAGGAGCTTTTCCCCTCTTGCCTCCTCCAAGCGGCCTCTTCTATCGCCTCTGATCACTGTGCTCTTCTCCTTCATACCTGCGTCACCTCCCCGAAAGCGCATCGTTTTCGTTTTGAGGCCTTTTGGCCCAAGTTCGATGGCTTTCTTCAAGTCGTGCAGGACGCCTGGCATCCCCCTGCCAACCTACCCCCTCTTGCCGCTCTTGCCTGGTGCTTCTCTACCACAGCCAAGCGCTTACAGAGCTGGAGTGACCGTCACATTGGCAGTGTTCGTCTGCAGCTTCAGATGGCGAAGGAACTTGTCTTCCGGCTTGATGTTGCGCAGGAGAGTCGGTCTCTTTCCCCCTTGGAGACCTGGCTGCGGCGAGATTTAAAGTTGAAGTGTCTTGGTCTTGCCTCGCTTGAGCGTACTATCGCGCGTCAGCGTTCGCGTTTGGTCTGGCTTAAGGAGGGTGATGCCAATACCAAGTTCTTCCACATGCACGCCAGAGCTCGTAGGCAGAAGAACTTCATCACACGCCTTCGTGATGGTGACCAGCTTGCCATCTCCCATAATGCGCTGCAAGAGCTTGCCTCCTCTCACTTTTGCGCCATCTTGGGGACGAGCGTCAAGCGTGAACTCGCCCTAGACCTCCACTCTCTTGGCCTCCGCCCTGCGCAGCTTGAGGGACTGGACTGTCCCTTCACAGAGGATGAGGTCTGGGCGGTGATCAAGTCCTTGCCCTCTGATAAGGCGCCCGGTCCTGACGGTTTTACGGGCCGTTTCTACAAGTCTTGCTGGCCAGTGATCAAGGTCGAAATTCTGGCGGCCCTTAACTCCTTGTTCCTGACCAACGGCCAAGGTTTTGCTTCCCTCAACGACGCCCTAATCTCCCTCTTGCCGAAGAAGGACGAGGCTGTTGACGTTAAGGATTTCAGGCCGATTAGCCTTATTCACAGCTTTGGGAAGCTGTTCTCCAAGATCTTGGCCTCTCGTCTCTCCCCTCGCCTGGACGAGTTTGTGGCGCCTAACCAGAACGCTTTCATCAAGGGCCGCTCTCTCCATGACAACTTCCGCTATGTCCAGCTTGCGGCAAGGGCGCTCCACGCCAAACGCGTTCCCCGACTTCTTCTCAAGGTGGATATCGTGAAGGCCTTTGACACGGTCAGCTGGCCTTTCTTGCTTGAGGTGCTAGCCCAGCTTGGCTTCAGTCAACGTTGGCGTGATTGGATCTCCCTCATTCTCAGTGCCTCCTCTTCCCGGGTGCTGGTTAATGGGGTGCCAGGTCCACGGTTCCCCCATCGGAGAGGTCTTCGCCAAGGAGATCCTCTTTCCCCCATGCTTTTCATTCTAGTCATGGATGTGCTCAATGCGATGCTCCGCAAAGCCTCTGACTCGGGTAGTTTTCTTCCCCTCAATGATCGTGCTATTCAACATCGTGCATCCCTCTACGCCGATGATCTAGTTCTCTTCCTTTCCCCCGTTCGGCAAGACCTTGAGTTCATCCAAGGCATCCTCTCTGTCTTCGGTGCCGCTTCCGGGCTTCGGACCAACTTCACCAAGTGCTTGATTACTCCGATCCGCTGCTCGGTTCTTGACCTGGAGCTGGTTCAGTCCTCTTTTCCTTGCTCGATCTCGGAGTTCCCCTGCACCTACCTCGGCATTCCACTGTCAGTTCGCAAGCTGCCAAAAGCGGCCCTGCAACCGCTTGTGGATAAAGTGTCCCATCGGCTCCCCCCTGGAAGGGCCGTCTAACCACTCTGGCGGGTCGCTCGGTTCTAGTCTAGTTGGTTCTCTCTTCCATTCCGGTCCATGTTTCTATGGCGATCGGCTTGCCAAGCTGGGTTATCAAAGCCATTGACAAGAAGCGTCGCGCCTTCTTGTGGATGGGTACGGACTCGGCCAATGGGGGACAGTGACGGGTGTCCTGGACGAGGGTTTGTCGTCCTAGGGATCTCGGTGGACTGGGCATTCCGGATCTCAGGGTGGCTGGCTTTGCCTTGAGAGTTCGCTGGCTCTGGCTTCAGCGCTCGGGACACCCCTACTGGTCTGATCTGAAGGCCCCTGTTGAGCGGAGCGTCTCCAACATATTCGCAGCATCCTGGGAGATGGTCAGTCCACGCTCTTCAGGACTGATCGGTGGATCGATGGTCGCTCGATAGCTTCTATAGCTCCTGACCTCCTCCACGCCGTGCCTCCACGTTT